TTGATTTTTAATTTTTCTTTTATGACGTTCTTTCCGGTATTTTGTTGTTTCATGAATCCCATAATATTATAAAGAGGTTGCACCAGTTGTTCTTTCTTAAACCAACTGGAGCGGTCGCAGATAATGTCTCCCATCACGAAGGAAGGAGGAAGTCGCAAGATGGCGTTTTTGTGTGTTTTCTATTCGAAATATTACTGGTGTAAAACATCATTCTAATCATTGATTTATTGTCATTTTGCTGTAGAGGCGTCGCATATACGGATTCGATATCTGTTTGTCATAGGAAGGACATACAATTCATTTTTGAAAACGATATCAATCAATTTTTTTATTCCACCATTCTCAGAAATATATTTTGTGATACAGATCCCTACAGATCTATGGAACAATAAAATAAAGTGTGTCTCTGGAGAATGTGGATTATTTTTAATACTTCCTCCTTCTCTTGCACGTAATGCTTGTCTTCAAAAAATGATTTGCTTTGTAACTGCTGTTATAGAATACACAAGTTACTGACCGCTTATTTTACTGAATATGTGGAAATGTGTTTTCTCAGTCATTTGAAGGAATACATACTAATGATTTAAATTATACTATCGTGTGGCAAAGCTTCATCGATTCAGTTCTTTATTCAACCAATTGAAAACACAACTGAAATTGCATCGAAAATAATCCTTATAAATGCAAATCATTGAGTAAGAATTTTGTTTTTTCAAAACTCTCTACGACAATGAATACAAAAATGTCTAAAGCATCCCGTTGCTAGACCGAAAGTATCGTGTAAGCTACACCACCGACCAAAGATATCACTTATTCTCGTTGGTGAATGTTATGAATGATTTACTGAATGACAGACTTGTAGGAAAATTTTGAAACGATTTGTAAGAAAAATTTGAATCAATTTGTAATCACATTTTTTCTTCTTCTTCTTTCTCTCGTCTTGTTTTCCTTCTTCTTCTTCTTCTTCTTCTTCTTCTTCTTCTTCTTCTCGAGCCTGTCTTTGTTTCCTCGACGTCCTGTCACCCGCATCCAGCGTCCGCAACCACAGCCGCCCGTCCTGCTCGCCGGCGAATGCGCAGTGTCCTTATTTCTGCTCGCTGGCGTGATTAATAGCGCGGGTCGCGGGCCGGATTGACAAGGCCTGCAAGAAGGCGCCCCGCCCCTCCCCTCACCACCTCCCCCAGCGGCGGAGACAGCGGCGCAGCGCTGTGCGATGCGTGCAAGCCAGCCAGCCAGCCAGCCAGCCAGCCAGCCAGCCAGCCAGCCAGCCAGCCAGCCAGCCAGCCAGCCAGCGGGCGCGCCCGCGTTGTCGATGCGTCGCGTGCGCTGCCATTCTTCTGGCTGTCTCCGTCCCGAGGACGCTCAACGCGACGCGGCGCGGCGCGGAGCGGAGCGACCCACGCGCTGCGGAAGTGTACCCGCAACCCCGCCACGCCCCCCGCACAATGGGCCCGCTGCCTCTGCTGCCAAGGTCCCACATCGCGTTGACGGAGTGTGTGTGTCGCCGCGGGCATTTCTTTATCCTCTTCCTGGACACGCAGTTCGCACTTTGAAGAATAAAAAAGGATTTGATTTGATTTAATGTAATTTTTTGTTTCGTTATTCGTTTTATTCGTTATTCACTCACTCGTTATTCACGTTTCTTTATCCACGTCCTGGACCTACAGTTCCTTGTGGCATTACGCCCTGAGGAAGGTCGCAGAATGGCGACCGAAACGTCGGCACCTTCGCCATGGACGCGGCGTCACCCGGACAGCCTAGCAAATGAAGTGTAATCTGCGCACGATTCATTGAGTTCTATAATTTCTTTCCCTCATGAATCTTGATACTTTTCTTCTGATGTATTTTGATTCTGATCTTTCTTTTCATATAGTATATTATTTTGGTATTTGTTCTGCTGTAAATAAGTGGCCAAGGATATATTTATACCTGACTGTAATTTTTAAATGATGCAGCATCATTTCAAAACAGAATCTATTGTTCATGCAAATGCATTGAAATTTTGGAGTTAAAGGTTTAAAAAAATCCTTTAAATATATTACTGTGGCAAAAAATCTGTTTTTTGCATTCAGAAATGTCCAGGCAGTATTTTTATTTCTGGATTGAAAGAATAACTTTCGTCGTTCTAGCAGTTAACATGAGTGCATTCTTTATACCGTTAGACATTCGTGTTTCTCAAAACATGTACATGTTTGGATAAGTGGTGTACGCAATAGATGCATGATGAGCGAGGAATTTCATCAGTTAGCATGCACTGAAAGGATGCTTCTTTATCCTATGATTGAACGGATCTCTAGTATTAACGAGGCTGCTAGGCTATAATGCCGTTCAAGTTTACGAGTTGTGGACCCAAAGAATGCTGAAGAGGCCGGGACACATCGGGGAGTTCAAGATCCAATGTAGGCTTCCGTGTTAATAGCAAAGAGGACAATTCAGTTTCAGGAAAAATCTCTCTGTCCAGTAGTGAAACCCTGGAAAAGGTTCTGAAAATCAGAAGCGGATCTCAATGCCGCCCCTCCCCTTTCCCTCGCGAGGTCGCCAACGACGTGAGTGGGAGGGTAGGGAGGGGGCCGGGTACCCTCCCGCGCGCTCCCTGCCGGCGGCGGCAGCCACGAAGAGTGATGAGCACCGGAACCGGTTCTGTATTTATAGCGGGCAGGCGGGGTGTCCGCCTCTTCCTCCGCCGCCGCCGCCGCGGCCTCATATAGCGAGCCCCGTGAGGGCTGCTTCCTGGCCAGACACGTGCTCGGCGCTGTCTAAAGCCGCGTCTCTTACTTAACATTTAAAATCAAGATGTTAGAAGTTAAATATCGGTTAGATGCTAAATGTATACATGTTTAATATGGTTACGTACTGAATGTATATGACGAATTTTATACAATTTACGTCGCGTTCACACTTGTTACCAGGCAGGGTTTGATGACAAAGATAATGGACTCAGATGGACTTGTTTTAAGTATGTGAACTGTGTGTACGTTTTATATTTTCTGTAGTTACCACTAGTTATATTACGATCGTGATGGTTTGACGTCAAAGAATTGCTGGCGTCAGCTGGATATTGAACCTGGATCTCCTAGTTCACGCCAAGTTTTCTCTAACCTCTTCTCATACCGAAATAGTATACTTTTCGAACCGCCATTAGATACTAAGAGCCCCTCTGACCATAACGTTTTACATTCCACCACCTTGTCGCAGTTGTAAGTTTTAAAAAGTACGTGGAGATATGTTTTCTGTTATGGAACAAATGTGACCAGGTGATGATTTATAAAATGATGTACATATTTGCGATTTTAGGGTCGGGTACGATTTTAAGGAAAAGCTGCAGCTCTCAATTAGCCCCGACCCGGAGACGTACACGTGATTGCACCACGGAAGGCTAGCACTCTGACCATGATCCACTCGAGAAGAAATTGCGTAATAATAATAATAATAATAATAATAATAGCAACAACAATAATAATATTAATCGTCGGTAAAATTGCAGCTTGTGTATTTCATAGTCGCCCTGCGGGACGCAACACGCTTGACGTCCATGTATTACATGCTCCTTGTAGCAGAGACCCCTGCATTCGTGATGCAAATTAATATTAGCTGTGACACCTAGAAAAAGAAAAAGGAACAAAAGATGAAAGAAAAGAGAAAGGAAAAGAGAAGCATGAAAAAAATTAAGATGAAAGAGAGGAAAGAGAAGGAAATAGAGGGAAAAAAGAAAAATAAATAGAAGTTAAAGAAAATGAAAAAGAAGACAAAAGAAAAAGATAGAACTGTTGATGTATTTCATACTACATGTTCTGAATTCACATAACTAATCATGGATTCTGCACATTCTTATTTCTGGCTAAAGAAATAGAAGCTCCGAAATAGTGGGACCACGACAGCTAATGTTTGATACATTTGGGGATAACGTCATAGCTTCCAAGAACTCCTTCTTTTTCCATTTCATTTTACATAAATCTAGAACACCGAACAAAGGAATTGAAAGCGTGACTCCTGTGTTGCCACGCAAACACAAAATCCGGTCCAACGTTTTGCCGAACCCCTGAACGAACAATCGACTTCAACTCGTTTTCCACTCCTGCTGGAGAACGTCATACACATTAAAAATGTGACCTGTAACATATTAAGAGTTAACGTGTCAAGAAGGGTAGACGCAACAATTAAACACCGAACACATTGATGTTACATGTTAATTAGTTCTGAGAAGCGGCTGGAGGCGTGGCTCTCGTGCGGCTGCTGGCCTGGCACGCCCCCCGCCCCCCTCGCGCCGCGCCCTCTGCTGACACACGAGCGCTTGCTCCGTTGAATGGGTGCGGTGTCTCGCCGGCGCCTAACAATAGACTGCTGTCTGTCTGTCTCTGCCTTCCTGCCTGCCTGCCTGCGCGCTGCCTTTCTTAATCTGAACCTCGTTTACCCAGACGCAGGGTCTGCGTTCTCTTCGCTGCACGTGCGCTCTAAACTCGGAAATTGTTTTTTTTTTCTCTTTTTTCTCTCTCGGTGAATCGAGATTTATTGTTTTGTAAGTTTTGCTACCCTGGCTACCGAGGTCGTCAGTAGGTCATTGCTACCCTGCGCGTGTGTCGCACGTGACCTCATGTTCCATTTGCCGTGGGGGGGGGGATTCTTAGATTTATGATGTTTACCCAACACCTTGACTGCGGTTAGGGGTTTAGTAACTTGATTAAATGGTCGTTTGCGCTGGGTAATAATTCTCTAAAATGGCATTGGTTACTAGGAACCTTACCTGTTCCGATGCAATGTTTTTTTGGGGTTACACGTCTAGAGCCGTGTTTTTTAATAACTTTTTGCAATTTTCTGTTAGAAATTTCATTATTGGAATCGTTTTTCCTCTAATGAATTTCATGCGTCATTGACCCGTGTTACATATTGAATGTCATTATGTGGAATGTATGGGTGTACTCTAAGTTTCGACATTTTGACTTTTGCGAAATATCTTATTAATTTTGTCCTAATTATGAACGTTATTTTTATACTTTTTTCAGAAACGAAATGTTGAGGAAATACAACGGTAAATTAAATGAAGAATAATTTGAATATTTTTTTATTCTGTAACGAAAAATAATTGTTTCAGTTCTTTCATTTGTTCTTGAGAATGTCGTGGTTTAAGTCATCCTGACATCTACGTAGCCACAATTTCAATAGTTGAACATTCTTGTCTTGCTATTTGAATTCGCTATTCCAGAAACCGCGAGTATCGGCAAGTGCTGCCTGGTTCGGTTATTTCGAACTCAAGTGATATAAGTGACACAATTTAGATATCGTACGCTTATCAGCGACAGTTGAGTCGCTGTCGTTATGTCGCCGGATCGTCCAAATTCCACCGTCCCACGACGCTTCTCTGTATGTTTCCGGAGTGTGATTATTTGCTTATTTAAGACAACACATGAATATATAAATATTGAAAGGTTTAGTAATTTTAAACTGTTCAAAAGCCTTTACATATTAAAAACTGCTGTTTTGAAAATTGGGAAATTCTTTACGTTCTCTTATTGCCAGAACTTGGCCTTGTAGCGAAAATCTCCTAGCAATTTTTGTAACTTCACCTGTGGTACGTTCGCAATATGTCTTGTTTATATTTTCCGGTATAAAAAGTTGCTAAATAAATTTGAACGTATTCCGACGGACTGCTCGTTTCTTGGCATCCAGTTGGCAACGTTAGAAAACAGGGTCGGAGAGGGGAATCTAGAGAAATACTGATCGATTGACAGTTGGCAGGTTGCCATGGCCACGTCAAACTATGGGACATCTTAGTTTGTATTAATTGATGAATTGTAGGCGTTGAAAACAAAGTGAGTTTCTCAAAATTCCATAAGTGTTAATTTCTTCTCTAAAAGTCGTGGATCATTTGCAGTGAATTTGGAAACGCGTTTAAACGTTGACGTCCGTTCGCTTACACTAAGATTTTGCGGCATTGATGCAGTGTTTCCATTAATTACTTTCTGGAAATAAGAGAGAAAACTTTACTGTAATTGATTCCGTTTAGGAACTTGTGGTATGAAATATGGACACCATTCTTTCAAAATACCTTTATTTTCTTAGATATAATTCGCGATATCATTTTAGAGAGATTGTTTTCAAGACACAACACAAAATAATGTCGAAAGTTACATTTATTTTAAGGATTCAATTTGGTGAAAATCGAGGAGATAATTATATTTTTCCCACGTTTTGATTTACAGAAAATAATGTAAAAAGTTGTGGTTGTGATGATGCTGATGATAATATTGTAAATTATTGATAGAACATAAATTTAAAACGTCATTCTATTCAGCATATTTACATTGACTCATTGAGATTAGTAGACGTATGAACATTCCAGGAACTACATTGTAATATATGCTCTCTTTATTTTGCACTTGACTGTTGATTATTTATATCTACCCCTAATATGAACGTGACATAAGGTTGTTGTGCAAAATTATATTTCTGATGCATATGTAAGATTGTTTCAAAAATATTTAAATATGTTTGAGATTTTGAGATAATATCTAACTCGTGTATATTTCATTTATGAAGTGAGTCAGTTTCACGTCAAGTGGCGGTCGGGACTCGTGTGATGTTCTGATAATATCCGGTGGTTGTTGAGCGGGCTTTGAAGACATAATTGACGAGATAACATTTATTAATTTATCGGATAATTTATTACATCAAGATTCAGCAAGGGCATCGTTTTGGTTTATACGAGCATTTCTGCGGATGAATTCACATCTTGGAATTTTATCAAGAATTCGCAGAAGGCTTTCTTACTTAAAAATATTAAGACACTTCTCATAAATGTGGACTACATTTACAGGAAGGAAGTTTCGAACGAGTCATCTAATGATTATTTCAAATATAATGTTCTTTCAAGTATATTATGTAGTGCATAATCAGGTCAAATAAAATATATTAGGTGAAAAATAAATTACTGTGTTTGTGTCGTATTCACATTAACGTCATTTAAGTCAGATTCTCAATTTCACCAATTCTTGTCCTCATAATAGCGTTATTTATGCGCCACGAGATGTTTGCGCAAAGCCACCCTTCATCTGAATATTAGGAATCATGACCCAGAACTCTACCCTTGAAATTCATGGGGACCTTTACGAGTAGGGTCTATATTAAAGAGTCATAAAGCATTAGGCCTGATTGACCGATCGATTGATTAATTGATCGATTGACACGATTCTGGGCGCATCAAAGGATGAGGGCGTGTTTCCCGTAAGTGTAGTATATGTTTTAAATCGAACGGTGGCGGTGATCATCTCTCGCTGACTGGCGAGATGTAGCGCCGGTCTACATCGGCTTGCGGGATTTTCGTCAACCAGGCATCTCCCAACAACGGGACTCAGCCTCAGCCGGGACAAGCTCTAAGTTCCCGACCGTTCTCCCGGCATGTGTGGTAGAGTAGTGCATGTGAGAGTGATATGTGTTTAAATAAGGGGTGAGAATAGAAGAAGGAAGAGGAAGAAAAGATCGCACGCGATCCGTAGCCCGTTTGTTAGAGGATTGCTTCGCCTGGTATTGATCGGGTAAACAATGGAAAACCACCGATCAGAGCAGCCGGCCGCTAGAATTCTTCTGCAGACAGCGGCTGAATTCGAGCTAGTTCTGCTAGTTCGCCAGCAAGAGCCATTGCCCGGACTCGAACCCTAGGGCTTCCCGGTCCGATGCAGTGCAATGACATCATTTGATGCCATGAACCACCATTGTCGGTTCATTATGTCTGATGATTGATGGTTGACTGGTAATTCATCGCATTCCACGATAATCTCGCGGTAAAAATACCATACGGGATTTAAAAAAATCATCTGCGGATCCGCGAGCTAGACACTTCCAGGATTGTCATTAACTATTTCATATTTCACTCTGTATTAAATTTCCTCGCCGCATTCACTGCTGCTTTGTTGTGCTGAGGCTTTCCAGCGATCACGCCACCCTGTGAAACATGACTTTCGTAGTGAAGCTGATAATGATGGAAGAAAAGGGAAGAAAAAGAGGAGTGAGGAAAATGACGGCGTCCGCCCCCCGCTGAGCTGCTTCTCCGCGCGCAAAGAGCGTGCACACGTTCCGCGGCGCGGAGCGATCTCCCGCGTCGTGAGTCATGCGCATCTGGCCGGCGGGCGCGGGCGCGGGCGCCAGCTGCGCCGGTCGGTCGCGGGCTGAACCTCTCGGCGCGCGCACTCTGCGACCGCCACCGCCACCACCGCCACCGCCACTGCCTCTGCTATTGCCACCGCCACC